GCGCGCTGGCCGTCAAGAACCTGCTGGTGCACAAGAAGAGCCGGAAGGTGGAGCCCGCCGCGCGCCGGCGCTGGAAGCACTACTGGGCGTCCCTCAAAGATGAGAGGGGACCCCACCCCGCCCCCGGGGGCGTGCGCCTAGGTGCGCTCCATCCGCCCCACGTGCGCCCAGGTGCGCTCCATCGCCCACGTGCACTCCATCCCACCCCGCTGTAGCCACTGCCTTAAACATGCGCAGAGGATGCTGTAGCCACTGCCTTAAACATCACTGCGTTGTGCTTACTGTACTTAATATGACAGCTAACTTCTGACGCGCGCGCACACACACACATCAACTTCAGAGAGGGAGAGGGGGAGAGAGAGAGGAAGAAACATCAATGATGAGAGAGAATCATGGGTTGGCTGCCTCCTGCACACCCCACACTGGGGATCAAGCCCGCAAACCGGGCCTGTGCCCTGACCGGGAATCGAACCGTGACCTCCTGGTTCATAGGTCGATGCTCAACCATGAGCCACGCTGGCCGGGCCCTGCCGCCCTTTTGTGTTCCTCACAGGCGGTGACCAAGGGCACCTGCTGGTCATTCTTCACTAAACTCTGTGTCCCCGGATGAGGGGCTCCCGTCCCTCCTGCCCACGCTGCGTGTCTTCATTTTCACACAGAGAAGCCAGGCGCCTCCTGCAGGTCGCTGGGTCTCATGACAGTTTCGGGGACGGCCTGACAGGTTATTTTTTTTATCATTCTCGTTAGTGATGTGCCTCCCCGTGTCTGAGAGGGAAAGTCATGAGCTTGAATCTTCTGGAATTGCCATTTTTCAGGTGAAAACAGAATATTAGAGCTCAGGCCGCCTAAGTCACAATGTGTTTGTGAAAGTCACCGTTTACGGCCACACTGAGTATCCACGTGAGCATGTACAGATCCGTGGACAGATCCGTGTACACGTACTAGTGTATGCCCCCGCCTTTTCATTCATCACCACCACACTTTGTATGGCGGCGTTTTGCATGTATTTTTGAGCGTGTGTACAGGTGTCTGCACGTGCTCCGTAGTGTAGACGTTGTAACACAGCGTGAGCTCTGTGTCGTACGCGGAGCAGCACTCGCAAGCCCCCGGGACCTGTCATGAGTGCGTGTGGGACGGGCTGTACATGGTGGGCTGGCTTAGGTGGGTCGGTAAGTGCAGGGGACAAGCCAGGAGAAGAAACCGGGGCTCACCTGTGCGGCGCACACACGAGACCGGGTGACGCGGGTTCCACCAGCTGTGGTTGGTGTGGGAACAGCCAGTCCCGGAGGCACAGCCGTGTAGGGTCTGGGTGGGCCCAGTGCTCCTGTGTCAGCTGTTGCTTCGAGGCTGGGAAAACAGGAAGGGAGCATGTGATTAGACAGTCGGTCTTGCCACACGTCCCAGTGACCCGCAGGGACAATGTCTTAAGCAACAGAACTCTGTGTCCCTCCCTCCTCCCAGAGTCAGAGCCCCTCAAGCCGGGGTGGCAATCCTGTGACTCATCAGGGGCCCAGCCTCCTCCTGTCTTGTTGCTCAGCTGTTCCTAGAACTGTCTCGTCTGTGTGGTCAGGCTGGCCCACCAGCAGGTCCACATTCCAGTGGAAAGATGGGGAAGGGAGGGCACTGCGCGGAAGTGGCCCACATCTGTCTTGCTTCCATTGGAATGAGTCAGGCCTAGCTGCAAGGGAGGCTGGTATGGCAGTCTCGCTCCCGGGGGTTGGGGGGGGCGCCCCGGAGCACGCAGCTGTCCCACGGAGGGCCTCGGGCTGCGTGTCCGGCGCTGCTGCCGCCGTGGGGCGGATGCCACCTTCCCCATCGTCTGACGGGTGGGTCCCGACTTCCGTGGCTCCCCTTCCTGGAACGTCTCGGGAAGAGGCAGACTCCTTCTCACATCCTGGTCTCACTCATGCTCAGCGTCCGCCTCAGGGGGTCGACATTGGCACAAAAAGCAGAATCCTGGCAGCCATAGTCATTTCTGTGGGAAACTGCATGAAATGTTGACATGAAACTTTGAATTCTATCTGCCGTGCTAAATGAAACGCCCTGTCATCACACATGCACGGAGGGTGTTCAACTCAGGGAACGTTCTGTCCGCTCCCCGTTGCATGGGGACTCCCCACGTGCCCTCACTTCACCGCAATTCCCTCTTACAGCCCCTGCCTCCTGGTTCAGACGCACCCCGAGTCCTGGGCAAGGACTCAACACAGGGACCCGGGGGATGGCCTTCGGCCGTGACGGGCCCTGAAGTTGGGGTCACATGAGCTCCCCGCTGACCCTCACAGTAGCCCCAGCAGCCGTGTCAGGGGGATATACTCGGTGCTTCCTTTTCCACGGGGGCCTGGGCGAGGGCGGTTTAGCCTTTGCTGGTCCTGGGTCCTGGCAGGAATGAGGGGTGAGGAAGCCGGGCGGCTTCGGGGCGCAGCTCACCAGCCCCGAGAGGAGGGGCCTTCTGCTCGCAGTGACCCAGCTCTGAGTGACGCGGCCGTGGGGACCCGGGCAGAGCCACCGAGCCCTTCGCTGCCTCCTCCCCATTCCTCCTGGGCCTCCCGCCACCCAGCAGGGCTGCCCCGCGTTGCTTAGCAACCCTTCACCTCCAGTTAAAACGCAGAGCACCTGGGACGGTGGGGCGGTGATTTCCCCGAAGATTCTTCCACTTTAGACAGAGAATTAATTAAAAGGAGATTTCACTTAGAATTAGCCCGAGTGTCTCCCGCCACAGGGAGCGGAGCGCACAGGTGACGCTCGGCACCAGGGCGTGTGCGGGCTCAGGACGCAGCCTCACACTGGTCTTTTTATTTTTATTTTATTTTACTGTTTAAAGCGCCTCACGCTTGTCTTGACATTGGAACCAGGAAGTAGTGGAGTGAAAGCCTGTTTTCACCATCTCCCGTCACGGTGGATTGTAGACCAAGTGGAAAAGCTATAAACACGGGGGATGGGAGACCAGGGGGTGTCAGTGTGCCCCCCAGGCTGGTGGCCCCTCATCGTGAGCCTCAGCTTCCTGCTCCGGGCTCAGCCTGTGGCAAGGACTGTCCCCTCGTTTCTACTTGCCCGGGCCAGTTCTGAAGGGGTCGGTTCCGAAGGGGACAGGGAGCTGAGGGAATGGGGTGCGGGGCTCCTAGCAGGGGCGCGGGGCGTGTTCCCCACAGTCCTCTGCGATGGGGTCTGTCCTGGGCATCGGGGACATTTGGCCACACCCCTGTCCCTCCCCACGGGACGCCCACAGCGCCCCCTCGCTCCCCCCACCCCCATGCCCGCACAGCAGGTAGAAGACCTGAGGCTCCACCCTCTCCCTTCTCCCCTGACCCTGCAGCCTGAAGCCAGTGCAGTGCGTGTGCTCCCCAGGATGTGGCCCAGGAACCCCGCAACCGTGTGTCCTGGTTGCGCATCTCGGGAGACTCTGGGGCAGGGTCTCCGGTGGGACCGCGCTGCCCGTCCTCGCGCGGGCCACGTGCTGCTCACGGTGCCGTGTTCAGGCCCCATGTGCCCGTGAGGATGCGAGTGTGAAATGGCCTAAAGCAGAAGGAGGAGGGGAAGACCTCGAGGCTGCGAGGGGCCCCGTGCGGGTGGGGAAGCTGCGGTTTAGACCTCGGCCTTCCGCGGGGCCCACCCGCGTACCCGCGTCTTCACAGGCTCGGCCGCCCCGACCCCCTGGGTCTCACGCGCAGTGTCTGCCCTGCCCCCTCTGTCCGCAGGGTGCACGCTCCTCTTCTACGAGAGCGACGGCAGGTCGGGCATCGAGCCGGGCAGCGTCCCCAAGCACGCCGTGTGGGTGGAGAACGGCATCGTGCAGGCCGTGCCCGAGCACCCCAAGAAGGACTTCGTCTTCTGCCTCAGCAACTCCCTGGGCGACGCCTTCCTCTTCCAGGTTCGTGGGCGCTTCCTGTCGGTCTGGGGCGGGTCCTCCCCCTCCCCCCGTGGGTGTCACCTCTGGGTCCCCATGGAAACGAAGGTGGTGGCAGACAAGGTGAGCCCCGGGGGAGCGAGGGGGGAGCTGAGCCGGGGGACGCGGCTGCCTGCGCGGGGGACGGTGTCACTGCGATCGCGGCGCGGTTCGCCCTGCGCTTTAGAAAAGGGATCGGATCCCGCCCTGCAGACAGGATGTGAGCTGTCAGGCTTTCTCTGTCATAACATGTCTTCTGAGATACTCCTTCCGTGAGACAGCAACATTCCAGAGTGACAGCCGTTCCCGCATCCCTCCTCTTTTCCACCTTCCCAAGTCTGTGCCTGACGCTCTGGAGCGTGGCTGTGAATCGTATGTAAAGACGCGAACCCGCTAGTGACTGCGGGGCTGGCTTTGCTCTTATCGGGAACCTTGGCGTGGGCTCCGCTGGGATGCACTCCCAGCACTTCCTGTGGGGCTTGTCAGGGACCTGCCTTCATTCATTGCCGTTACTCTGTGCTGCCTGTGTGCTGTGCTCACTGCTAGTGAGAACACCGGGAAGATGCTGACATAGTTCCTGTACTTAAAGAGTTTGCATGTTACACGGGACCGACACAGGGAGGGGCCTCGGTGCTGTGGGAAAGGCTGGCAGTGACGAGTGGGGGGCGTAGGGGTGGATGTGACGAGTGGGGGGCATAGGGGTGGATGTGACGAGTGGGGGGCGTAGGGATGGATGGGGGACACAGCCGTGAGAGTATCCCACGCAGGAGAGAGAGGCCGGAACAAAGGCCTAGGAGAGAGCGGTGGGTTATTGCACCACGTGTCTGGGTTTGGTCCCTAACGTGATTTCTATTTGGGAAATTAAAGTAATAAATATAAAATAGTGCTTTTGTTTGTGGACAGAAAAAAAATCTGTTATTCTTTCTTTAAATGTGTGATATAAAACACAAGACATAAACGCACGGCTCACCGAAGTATCGCCAAGTGCGTCTGTAACCCCCACTCGGGCCAGGAATAGAAGTGTCTAGTGGTGCGTGAGCCGCCCTCTGCCCACTGCCACGCGTGCAGCCGACAGCTGAATAGGGTGGATGCGCTTTCTCAGCCGAGCCAGGACGCTTTGTTTATCTGGGAATGTCTTCATTTCTCCTGCATCTCGAAGGCTAGTTCTACTGGATATGAAACCCGTGATTGACAGTGTTATTTCACAGCTTGAGGAGCCCACTCCACCGCCATCTGGCCGCTGTGGCTTCTGATGAGCCGTCGGCTGTTAATGTTGTGAGGATCCCTTTTCTAGACGAGTTCCTTCTCTCCTGTTGCGTTGGGGAGTCTTGTTGTTTGTCTTTAAACAGTCGGATTATAATCTGCCTGCAACTGTAACTATTGATGCCTTTCAGTTTATTCCATCTGGAGGCATTGAGCTTCTTGGGTGTGTAGGTGTGTGTGTGTGAAATCACATGTGTGACGTTCTCAGCCATTATTTCTTCCGATAGTTTATCTGCCCGTTTATTTATTTCCTCCTGGGACTCCCCTTATGTTAATGTTGGTGAAGACTCTGTTCGTTGTTCTTCATTCTTTGTCTGTTCTGTTCCCTGGACTGGACCTGGTTCCCTGGTTCTTTGTTTCTCAGCGGAAATCTGCTTTTCAGCTCCTCTGGTGAATTTTTCGCTTCATTTATCTACGTTTCAACTCCAGAATTTCTATTTAAAAATAATTTTGGTTTAAATTTCTCTGTTGAGCCCTAGCCAGTTTGGCTCGGTGGATAGAGCGTCGGCCTGTGGACCGAAGGGTCCCGGGTTCGATTCTGGTCAGGGCACATGCTCAGGTTGCAGGCTCGATCCCCCGTGGGGGGAGGGGGGGAATGCAGGAGGTGGTTGATCCATGATTCTCTCTCATCATTGATGTTTCTATCTCTCTCTCCCTCTCCCTTCCTCTCTGAAATCAATACAAATATATAAAATAAGTTTCTCCGTTGATTTTCTATTTGGTGAGATATTCTCAAACGTCTTCAGACGTGATCTCCTTTCGTTCTTTGAAAATATTCTCAGTAGTCGGATTACTGTCTTTGTCCAGCAGCCCATCGTCTGGACCAGTGATGGTGAACCTTCTGAGCTCGGCCTGTCAGCATTTTTAAAAACCCTAACTTAACTCTGGTGCCGTGTCACATATAGAAATTTTTTGATATTTGCAACCATAGTAAAACAAAGACTTATATTTTTGATATTTATTTTATATATTTAAATGCCATTTAACAAAGAAAAATCAACCAAAAAAATGAGTTCACGTGTCACCTCTGACACGCGTGGTCATAGGTTCGCCATCACTGCTCTAGACTCTCTCAGGGCCGGTTTCTCCTGACGGCCGCTGGTCCTGGGCGTGTGCTACCCTTTGCTGCTTCCTTCCAGGCCGGACGTCCCTCACACCAGTGACAGCAGCGCTGTCCTGCCAGCAGCTCCGTGACTGAGCCCTCGCTGTAGGCCGCCCTCTGGAGCGTGTTTATAGTGTGAATCGAGTGTGATCTGGCGAGTTGGATTGTGTGTCCAGATTCTCACCTGTCGATGTAGATGGGTGACGCCGAGGCTTCCAAAGGCTAAACACTGGGCCCAGGTCACACAGTCGCCGAGCGGTGGGTCCTGGTTAAGCCAAGCCCCCCTTTCTCCGAAGCCTCTGACGGCCTCCGTGTCCTGTGTATCCGCGGTAACACAGTCAGCAGCGGCTTTCTCTCGTCCTTAGGAGTCGGCTGCTCGCGGGGAATAGTTCTAAATCGTATCTCACGTGGCTGCTCTGGGTCCCTCCGGTGGAGTGATGGATCGCTTTCAGGACGCTGTGTTCCGCTCTCCTTCCGATCGAATCCTCACCTGAGAACACATACAGGGCGTCCCCAAAGATGTGCACACACAGTTTGGATCCTCATAAAGCCAGTGTTTTCTAAAGTACATTTCATTTTCAAAGCCGAGCTGTCAGCTGTTCCAGTGTGTATACATCTTTTGGGGATGCTCTCTCGCTGTATATGTATTTTAAATTGATTTTAGGGAGAGAAACATAAGCTGGTTGCCTCCCACACACGCCCGGACCGGGGATGAACGCACAGCCTGGGTTTGTGCCTGATCTGGAGCCGAACCCGTGACCTCAGGCGCCCAGGACGCCGCTCCGACCAGCGGAGCCACACCGGCCGGGCAGGGCGCTCTCCTGTTCACCCGCACACCCCTGGTGTGAATTCCTTTGGAAACGACTCTCCTGGCCACGAATTACTGGTAGAATCTACCCTTTGGGTCACATTGAATAGAATTCTTTCGTGGCAACATAGGGCCTTATTCATGCAAACCTCTGTGTCTGCTTGTGGGTGAAGTGTTTATGCCACTGACGGGGGGGGGGAGGGCAGAGCCCAGAAGGACCCTTTTCAGAGAGAATTACTGCCCTTGGGGTCCACGAGGGCGTTCCCTACCTTCTGGTTCTAACCTGCATTCCTGGGACGGCGCCTGGAAGGAGACCTGTGTGAGTGTGTGTATGTGTGTGAGTGAATGTGTGTGTGAGTGTAGGGGCCTGTGTGAGTGTGTGTGAGTGTGTGTGTGAGTGAATGTGTGTGTGAGTGTGTGTGTGTGAGTGTAGGGGCCTGTGTGAGTGTGTGTGTGTGTGTGTGTGTGTGTGTGAGTGTGTGTGTGAGTGAGTGTGTGTGTGTGTGTCTGTGTAGGGCTGAGGGAGAGCGCAGGAGACCAGCCCTGGTTGTGGGATGGTTTATAGGTTGTGCCCAGCCCCAGGGCTCCGTCAGCGCCTGTGCTGTGATTGGACGCTGTCTCTCAGGTTCGCTGTGGTCGGGACTCGTGTTACCGGCTGCGGCTGCGGGAGAAACGGGGTTGTGTGTGCTGGGGGCGTGCGGGGTGGGACGGCCGAGTGTGGCCGCTGAGAGAGCACGAGGTTGTGCCCCGCGCCAGGGGGGGCCACGCGCTGTGTTTTAGGTGCCCCTTCCTCTGCCGGAGGCCGGGCGGGGTGCCACCCCCCACACGGCACCGTCCTCTCAGCCCTCCCTCGCCCCTCCCTCTGCCCATTACCGGGGACCTTCTTTTTTGGCAACGTATCCTAATATTGTGTGTGTGTGTTTTTAAATATTTTTATTGATGTCAGAGAGGAAGGGAGAGGGAGAGAAACATCAGTGATGAGAGAGAATCATGGATCAACTGCCTCCTGCACGGCCCCCACTGGGGATGGAGGCCACAACGGGGCCTGTGCCCTGACCGGGAATCAAATTCTGGTTATGGGATAATTTACAGGTTGCTGCAGCCTCCTGGTTCATAGGTCAGTGCTCAACCACGGAGCCACGCCACGCTGCGCCTAATCTTGGTTTTTTAATTCCTGCATTAAATGCCTGGGAACAGTGA